AAGCCAAGTGCTCGGGGTTTAGAGCTCATGACCCTTTCCAGACCCTTGGAGGAAATGTCCCCACCTCTCACCCTCTAAGCAGGGTACAGCCCTACTGCAGGATTTCAGAATTGACTGGGAAGTAAAGAGGCTGTTCTCTGGTAGGAAGAGAAAAGGGGAGAAGGAGCAAGCCAGCAAGATCAGTGGGTTCTGGTTCCCAATACAAAACCTTCCTGAGTGAGTCTCTGGGGTCCCATCTGTAAGGTGACAGGGCTGGGTTCAGTTGTGCCCTACCTTTCTGACATCACAGGTCAATGTTTAAAAACTCTCAGAAATTCTGCAGTTGGGATCTCCAGGACCCTCGTACCCTTTCCTGCCCTCTGTAAAGCGGAGGATCCTTGATCTGGGCAGAGTCTGGATCTCAGGCTCACCAGCATGGCTCAAGAAGTGCCCTGGAAGCCACAGAGAATTTGTAATGGGATATTACCTGGGACACCCCCGGGGTCAGTGGGTAGAGGATCATGGCCAGGCCCCTGAAGTCTGGCTCATCCCTTCCTATGGCAGTGGGCAGTGGGGAGCAGAACAGAAGTGGATAGAACAAGAAAGCTTCCCCAGAGGTGTTCGGTTACTGTGGGACCGTACTTTCTGCCAACAAAGCTACCAGGTCCCCTTTCCCACTTCACCCTAATGCCTAGATTCCCTGGGCATTGAGATTAGCACGAGCTCTTTCTCCCCTCACAGCCATCACCTCAGAAATCTCCTGCCTCTCCATCTTTCCCCCACGATCTCTGGCTTCAGGAAAAGATCACCTTCTTCCCTTCAAAGCTAGGCTCTGTCCTCAAGACTAGGCTTCCATTTCCATAGGGATCCACTAATTCCTAACATTTATAAAAGTTTTTCACTAAGTGCTTTTAACATTTAATCAGACTTCTCCCTAACCTTATACACACATCCTCAGCTTTTCCCCATGCTGAAAATGCTTTAGTTTTCATTCTGCTCTACTAATTCCTGATCTTTCTTCTAGTCTAGCATTTCCCAAGAAAATACAGCCCGGCCTTCTTCTTTTTTTTAAATTTATTTATTTGTGCATACAGAACTGGGGTACAGGCCAGAGGCTCAGGGGTAGTGAGAGGCTTCACCAGAGACAGAGTGGGGAACAGAACAGGCAGATCGAAAAAGTACACTGCTGAGGGGAGCAGCGGGCCGGTCAGGAGAGGTCTGCCACACCATGTGGTCACCTCCGGGGCAGGTGGGAATTGAACTCATGCAGAAGCGGCTTTAGATTCTCAGTGCTGTGCTTTAACCTGCTGCGCCACCAGGGAAGGCCAGCCCGGCCTTCTTAACCCTTTACAATTCTTATTTTCACAAAAATCTTGTTCCTGGAATTATCTAAAATCATTAAGGCTCATCCACTTAACAGTCTGGTCTTATTCTCTGTGGCATACAGCATTAAGAGCCTCCTCCTTCCAGAAGGCTCATCTCCCTTGGTTTCCACTCCAGATTCTATCTCCTATGCTGGTCCCAGCTCTTTATATACTACCAAACAAGCTGCTTCCCTCTTTCTGGGTGTTCGCCCCTCCACCTCCTACCCACGTTCCTGCTCTATACTCTGTATTTCACCTCTGCAAACTCAGCCAGTCTCATAATTTCAAGTTCCTTCAATAGATAGGACAAAACTAATTATCCCCTGAGGTCTAGTCCTGATCTAAGCTCTTGCCCTCCTAGGGGCATCTTTATTGTCCAAAGTCCATTTTCCACCAGATATAACAAAGTACACCAAAAGCAATGGAATAGGGCTCAGAAGATACAATCTTATTCACCCTGGGCCTTCCCTGGGTGTGCAATGAGTTAAATTTAGCATAGCACTGTGAAGCTAGCCTCACTTTGCACCAGTCGATCCCCGGCCAGGGAGGCTGTCCACATGGTTTGGCAGACATCATCTGTCTCGCCTGCTTCTCTCCTCAGCAGTATATTTCAGTCAGTCTGCCTGTTCTGCTCTCCCCTCTCTCATGAATCCTCTCACTGCCCCTGCACCTCTGGCCTGTACCCCAGTTCTATAGAAATTGTTAAAAAAAAAAAAACGGCCCTCCCTGGTGGCACAGTGGGTTAAAGCACAGCACTGAGAAGCTAAAGCCACTTCCGCATGAGTTCAATTCCCGCCTGCCCCGGAGGAGACCACATGGCGAGGCAGACTCTCCTGACCCGCCCGCTGCTCCCCTCAGCAGTGTACTTTTTCGATCTGCCTGTTCTGTTCCCCACTCTGTCTCTGGTGAAGCCTCTCGCCGCCCCTGCACCTCTGGCCTGTACCCCTCAGTTCTGTATGCATAAATAAATAAATCTTTAAAAAAAAAAAAGACTATTTACCTTTCTATAGGGGTACCTTTGCGCCATAATGGTTTCTTCTCATTGTTTTCCTTATTGCATGATGGGACAATAACCCCTGCCTGTCTCACAGGATACTATATTAGCAATTGAGGGGGGGGGGAGTCCGAGGAGGGAAGGGGGGAGAGGGGAACAGAGGATTCTTTTCAAGCTCCCCTCTTCTGCCAGATATCACCATCTCCCAGCTCCCAGGAGAACTCAATGACCCTCAGGTTCCTCATGTAGTAAGGCATCACGTCCTGTTGCCTTTTTCTAGGAAATGTCTCTGGGGGTTGAACATTCCCTTGAATTCCCACAATCAAGCCTAGATGGCTAGAATCCCTTCCTGATGGAGCAAGTCCATTGGGCACTGCTATGCACCTTCATTCAATCTTTACCAAGAACAAAGAAGGCTACCCGCTGCCTGTCAGGGACATTACCCAGGTTCACCATATTCATGGCCCCGCCTAGGTCTCTGCAACTATTTTCCCTTAGCAACTTAGATGGTTTACTCAGTCTGATGAACTTCCTTTTCCTGGCTTCCTTGGGCAGGTCTGCACTCCCTGTTTTTCTACCTCCCTAGTCTTTGCCCATTCTTTATGTCCCAACTCCCTTCCAAGCTCCTCCAGTTTCTAATGTTCATGTTCTGGTTTTTCCCGGTGGTATGTGTACATGCCCACACAAGCCCATGGAGCTAGAATACTGCTTCAGATTTCCTTTCATTTTTTAACTATGGCACAACTGTCTTTTCCCCCATCTAGTACTCCTTTTACAGAACTATAAGCATTGGACTTGGGCACCAGAACCACCTGAGTCTACATGCAGGGCAAAAAAAACCTCTCAGAGCGTCAGCTTCCTCAGCTATATCAGGAGTTTAATCACACTTACCTTACTGAGTTGTCACTGAGGATTAAAGGAGATACAAGTAAAAATACCAAGCCATGTCTGGCACTGAGCAGAAGGGCAAAAAATATTTGCTGACTTGAGGACTGAGCTTTAATTTCTGCTTGACAAACAAAGAAATTCTTTACTATTTCTAATTTTTTCAGTCAAAAATAAAATCTGAGAGGTACTGTTCACTGTTTAGTATTTCACATTTAAAACCTTCCTAATACACTCTTCTAAAAAGTAAGAAAAACATTGGTTTCTTCTTATGGATGAAGTGTACTTTTTCATGTTACAATGGGAATAACTTTTCAGCCTTTCCTTTTTCTACTTTTGGCTGACAGGAAACTCAGAGCAAGTTTTTATATTCACTTGTAGGTTTCCTGGTTGACCTGTAGGCAGCAATGTGGGATAGGGAAAAAACAGAGAATCCAGGGTAAGAAAATGTGGGCTGGGATACTCTTAGCCTTTTCTCACTCTAGATGACCCTCCAGGCCTCTCTAAGCCTTAATTCCCTCACAAGTGTAAATGGCAAATAATGACAAGGCCACTTAATTTACAGGACTGTTTTTGCAATAACACATTCAAAATTATTTATACGAGAATTGGCTATTAGCAGACTAGGTTTTCTAACATGATTCTTTTTTCCTCTTCTTCCCTGATACTTTCATCTTATCTTTTACATTTTGTTTTAGTCATTTTGCAGTTTTACTATAATTGGGTCCCTTATTTTGCTGTGGTCCTTTCTGGAAATACACAAAGTACAAAAAAATGACAAAGATTATTCCTAGAGAGCAGTCTTTCTGAGGGCAAGAAATGTCCTACACTTGTTTGGTCTAATAACAATTTACACTGGAAAAGCATTCAGCTTTAGAAAGAGCATGTGACTTTCATTGTTATGAGAAGGCCAAAGGAAGCAATTCATACTTAGCTGTTAAAATCAGATGAACAGTAGGTGAGGCAGACAGAGTGCCCAGAAAGGGGCTATTTTGTTGGATTAGTAGTGACAATCACTAATAGTCTTGCTTTCTTCTTTTATTTATTGTAGTTTACACCAGTGCCTACTATGAGCACTGGAAAAACAAAGACTGACCCGAAACAGTGCCCACAATGCAGGAGCCCACGGTAAAGGATGAAGGGCTGGGATGCGAAAAACACTTGCACAGAGGTTAACTGCCAACACTAAAAGAGGGTATAATCTGGCCAAACAGAGAAGAGGGCATTTGAGGATATATGGGGGGGTCCTACTGTCAGAAGAGGGGGCACAAAGATTCCAGAAGCAGTAACAGTGTGGTCTTTTCAGGTTCAGTGCTTCAGTTTGCCCAGAGAAGCTGAACATGGAGCAGAGCTCAAACTAAGAAGGGTCCTGCAGCCTCTGAGGAGTCAGATTTTATCTGGAAGAGGAGTGGAGGGCAGTTAGGAATGATGTTGATGGTCAGGAAGTGAGGTATTATATCATGAGCTGCAGTGTTCTGCCGGCAGAAGTATTCATACAGGGCCTATACAAACAAAGGCCAACTGGACTTTGAGGAGGACAGTCAAGACCTGGATAAGGGCTGGACCAAACAACTTCTCAAGTTCCTTCCAAACTAGAGATTCCATGATTCTAAAGCAAGCCCAGAAGCTAAACTGGTGCTGTGGGCTGGGATCTGTGGTCAGGGAGCTGCCTTGGGCAGTAAATGGGTTAAGGCTCAAATAATTTTTATATATGAATTAATGTGTAGAGTTGGGAGCCAAAATCTGTTCCATTAATTTTTCCATCCATTCCAGGAGCAGTTAGGTACACACAGTAAAGTTTATTTTGGTGCATGGTATACTTCACTCCATTAAAAATAAATTAATCAGCAAATTCCTGCCTGGCTCAGCTCTGGTTTATGTAAATAGTGCCCAGCTGTAATGAGTTACAAGGTGTTATTATCTCACACACACAGAGGAGGCTTCACTCTAGAGCTCCACTCGCAACAAAAGCATCTTAAATAAACTCAGAGAAGGCGGTTTGATTTGTAATGTTTTCACAGAAGTGGGATATACCTCACCCATATAGAGTTTCTTTATATGACTCATTTTATAGCAAGTTAAATGAACAAAGTTTGATGGGGAAAGGAAGGGCAACATGGTTCCCCGCCCCCTTTCTTAAATTTAAAGAAAATCCCCCAAGAGATGACCCACACTAAGAGGGAGGAGGGGACTGGTCCTCAAGTACTCAGACCAAGGAGGCTCCACAGCACATGCGCCTCAAGTTGGGAAGGGCGTAGAGAGCTGGGGAGAGGGCTGGGAAGGTGGTTAGGTACAAGTAAGCCAAGTTCTTTTTTCACCCAAAAATCTCTAAGGGGGAACCAAGACAGGGAAGACAGCATGTCCTTCACCTGTAGTTCAATAGGGGGTGGCAAAGGGACCTTTGTTCTTGAGTCCTCCTTTCAAACAATTTAGGATGAAACAAACACCTCAGCCACTGAGAGGCCTCCTGGGTTCTAGAGGACAGGGCCTCGCAGGAGGTGCCTTGGCCAGATGAGTGCTAGCTCCATGAAGTGGAGGCAAAACTAGCAGCAGAGACCCTCCTGACCTTTCTCCTCCTCCCTGTCTCCAACTGAGCTGGGCAGTGTGCTCCTCAACTTATGGCAACTGTCAACTCAGTAAGTTTTTAAAAGAAACTGGAATTAAAAAAAAGCCATGCAGAGAAATGACTCTGTTTCTTTTAATGGCCAACTCAACCCCACAGTTCAAAGCTGGAGGACAGAGCCAGGTTACTTTTCTTGACTCAGCAGCATTACAAATGGCTCCTAGGCCACAGTGGGCCTTGTGGGGGGTGCACCTTTTTAACAGCACCATCCCTTTCACCTTTGGGAAAAGCTATCAATCACATGGTTGTTACAGGAGATTTGGGAGATATATGCTGGAGAGCTCTTGCTCAAAGCTTCTCTTGAGGGAGAAGTGCTAAGCATTTACATCCCAGCACTGAGCCCCACCAGATCATACTCATGAGCATCCAAAGAGAAAAATCAACACAACCGGGGCCAGACATTTGATAGATGCTGTTAGAGGTCAGTTCAGGTCACTTTCTGCAGGGCCCTGAGCCAAACAGTCACCTCTCCCCTGGTGGCTCCTCAAAGCTAGCTGGCCAGCAGTTTGGACGAATAAGACCATCAAAGACCCTCGTCGTTGTAAGTTGGGGAACTGGGCTTCAGGACGCTCTGAGGATTCTTCTCCACTAGAGGGCGCCAGCTGACCTCCCCTGTCAGAAGCAGGTCCTCACCATTCATGGAGTCCAAGTACTGCATCTGCAACAGGGAGAGGAGGAAACAGGAAAGAGACAAGGGCAGGTCGTATGTGAGGTGGCATCAGAAATCAGCCTCCTAAAGAGAAAGGGGAGAGTACATAAAGGGGTTTCTGACCACCACAGCACCAGGTAAGGAAAGAGTCTGTAATCTCCAGATTATAGCATGTGAAGTAGGTTCAAGGAAACAATGTCACTGAAGGTTAGTGGGAAACATTAGGGAATTTCCCATCATGCTTATGAACAGACAAACAGACACACTTTAAGAACATGTCTTCTCATGTAGGGTTATCTAGAAAGTTCTGCAATCAGAAAGTTTCTGCAATCCAGAAAGTCAGGGTTTGTAACAGAAATCATCCTGTTTACCAGCAACTAGTCCTATAGGACTCATGAAAACATTAAATAATACACATGTGCCTCTAGTCACTGGAACTCTAGTGTCCTCTACTGGGCCCTAACTTTAGTCAGTGGGTCTTAGCTCTAGGATGGCTCAAGTGTTTATCTCCGCCTGCTTTTAAAATGCTTGTTATCCTAGACAAACTAGTGCTGCTCTCTAAGACTGTTGGCATTGGTCCATCTTTTCCCTCTGGAACTGGAAAGACCAAATGCTGTATTCTCTTGCTCCCCAAATGATATCTGGAGACAACAATCATGTTTCTATTGGGCTTCCTCCCATTTGTGCCTCCAATCTGAGCACTCAAGGCTCTGACTCCTGAGAAGACTGGTTGAAAACTATCCCATCCAAGGGTCAGAGTGTATACCACCACCCTGAGCAACCCTAGGCCCTTGGATACTCTCAGCCTGGCTGAGCAATCTAGATTGGAAGACCCAGTTATACTTTAATCTGAGGGTGAAACAAATAGTATTTCAGAATTTTCCTGTATGTGAGATCCTCTGGCCACAGTGTCATCTTTCTAGCTTTTGCTAGAAAGCTCCTGGCTTCTGCAGTTCTTTACTCTAGAGTGAGTTTGAAGAGCTTCAGTATATGGCTCTTCCAACACTGAACAAGATGGCCCCACTGACCCAGTCTTCTCCTTGAAAGCCTTGGCCCAGCTCTCCCTTTCCTAGCTATTAGAGGCCTGAAGTCCATGGACACAGGTGAATAAGAATAACTGTGGAGTGAGGTCTCTTCAGCTTCAGAGGCCAGACCCAGGAAGCAAAGGTGTGACTCATGGGACAGCCTGAGCTGATGAGCTATCGAGCATCTGAGGTCTCTAGTGAATCATGAATCACCCAGCTTGAGGTTTTAGGCAAGACACTGGGATGACTCACTGGGAGCCCCTCTTCCCTGCCACTCATCTAAAATGAGATGAGTGAATAAAGAACTGCGAGTCAGAGAGATCGAGGAATGAATTTCTACAGGCTTGAGGAAAACTTTTTAGTTAAGCCATCTTCCCTCTCTGGACTTCCCTCCTGAAAGTTTTGATGTCAGGAACTATTAGGAGCCAGAGGGGTGACTACTAAAGTAGAGAGAACCCTGCTTGACTATGGATATAGCATCTCGTGGGAAGAGCTTCAGGATTATCAGTAGAATCCTGCCTGAAGCTCAGACTTGCTAGAAATCAGGGGTAAGAAAAATGAATCCTGGGGCTTAAATTGGGGGCTACAGGAGAAGGCTGCACTGTATACCCCTATCTTACAGGACTATGTATACAAAGGATCTAGCGTAGAGCTCGGCACACAGTAGGGAATCAAATGTGTAATGAATGAAAGACTGAAAGTTTTGAAAACACTTGGTGCTTTTTCTTCTAGTTCCACTTCCCAGCCTCAGGAAGATACACAGAAGGTGCTCTTCATCAGTGCCTACTGCTGACATGATTTTGTCGGAATCTCCTCAAACTGGCTTCTGGGAACACAATCTCTCATGGTCCTCTGAAAGTCTCAGGAACTCAGGAAGAACCTACTTTCCATGAGACTTTGGAGGGAAAGGAAAGTGGTGCTCACCTGTTTCCTCACATACTCGACCAACAATTCAAGCTGGCGAGGGTCTTCACATTTCTGGTTGAAGAAGGTTCTCCAGAGGGCAGCAGCCAACCCATGATCATCTGAAAGGATCCCCTGGAACAGAGTACAGTAATTGGACTTCTGGAAAGCACTGCAGAATCGTGATACAAAACCTGCGGATATTGTGAACATGCTGGCAACGACAGAACTGGCGTAGATAGAGAAATGGGAAAGCTACATGGTGGAGCTGGAGGCATCTTCAGAATGTACCAGCTCCACCCCTTACTTTCATACAAAGAACAGAGGACCATGCACTGGCTAAGGGTGACACAGATATGGATTCACATATGGGTGACACTTGCAGTTTACAGTCCCATCCACTCTATTACACTGCACCTGGCAGTGATTCTGCTATTCTGCACGAGCAATGGACTTGGAGTATTCTGAATGCTGTTTTTCCCCTAGGAAGAGAGGTAGGCATAGAATGTGCCTTCTCTCCTGTTCCAAGTGCACACATCTGTAGGGCCACCAGTTCTTTTAAGAAGGGAAGTGCATTCTGGTCTCACTGTCACTCTATGTAGAGAAACAGGCTCAGCAGAACTGTCGTGCCCCAGAGGGAATGCTCAGAGCCCGTGTGTGTACACTGCCTCTCCCAGTACAGAGGAGAGCTTGGCTGGGAAACCCAAACAGCACAGAGGCTAATTAGTGTTTAGGCCATGCACTGGGGCCATTTTCTAGCCTGGAACTTTATGGATGGGGTGAGAGAGGGGTCTTGCTTCCTGAATGAGGGTGACCAAAGAAAAAGGTCCAGAGAAGGTACCCTATCCAAGTACCACGGTAATGTAGAACCAAAGTGCTAAGCAGAAGTTAGAAGGCGAGATTCAAACCTTGACTCTAGCACTGGCAAGCTCAGTGACGGAGGGCAAGTCACCAAACCTGACTCTCAACCTTCTCATGTATTAGAGATGGAAATTTTTGTCCTCTTCACAGTATGCTTGAATTATAAAAGATAATGTAAAGATGTTTTTGTTAAGTGTAATATGTCAGATACAAAGATTAGGAGCTGGCTTTGGCAGGCAGCTGTGGGGATCAGACCACCTGTGTTCAAATGGCAGCTCTGTTACTTCATGGTTATGTGGCCCTTTGGGAAGTCATTAGCCTTTCCTGAGCCTCAGTTTCTCACGAGAGAAACAAACATAGTAATATCTATCCTACAGAATTGTTGTGAAAATTAACAGATAAGGAACATGAAAGGCCCTGTGAAGTGGTAAATGATTACACAAAGATCCAGGATGGTGTATGGGATGCTCTGGTGGGGCTGGCTCGGGGGCATCACAGTGTATGAGGTCTAGGTTTAGGTCTCCTGCCAGGAAGGGCCATGTCCATGCTGACAGTTTGGTGGAAAAACATTCCACCAGTTCCAAATGCCCCCTGCTAAATACCCCTGTAATTCTACAGCTTAAAAAACTGTCCTGGCACAATGGCTGACTCAGGAAAACCAGCTTTTTCCAGAAGATGGGGACAGGAGCCAAAGACAAGCTCAGGCACATCACCATTCTCCAAGCTATTTGCTAACACAACAGGCTCCCTGTGTCTGAAGTGCCCTGGGCACATGCCGGAGTGCTGCTGGCAGCAGCCCAATACAGTGCACAGTAAGGAGCGGGAGCAGGAGTAGCAACGGGAGCGGAGCGGAGCGGGTGTTTCAAGGACCTGGAGAATGAGCACAGAGCAACAGGAGAGCAAAAGCTTGAGAGCTATGGCCTGCTGCAAACAGGCAGCTTCAGTGGTGAGTGAAATGGGAAAAGGTAAATCCACAATCAGTCAAAAGAAATGGAATGACTCAGACTCAGATTAACAGTAATAATAACCTGGCTGTTTCAGACGCTCAGAGTTCTTTCACACACCTGGCTCTTAATGACTACAGAGAAGAGCAGATATTATTATCCCCATTTTAAAGATAAGCACACTGAAGTTTAGGAGTTATCTCACTAATTGGTGGTAGAACTAGGACCAGAATGCACAGATGAGGTCAGGGGATGGTACCAGGCTAGCTCTAGTGAGGATGCAGTCAATACCTGCCTCAGAGAGGGTGTGCAATAAAAACACATCAAACAGCAATTGAGAATTAAATTCCACAGAAGGAACAAATCTGCACAGGGGAGACTCACAAGGTATATTCTGTACATGGCTGGCTCCCCATTCTTCAGTCTGAATTTCTATGACAAATCCTCAGAGACCCTCCTGTTCTACACTAAGCATATCACCCCTATTATTCTTTACCACTGCACTCTAATTAGGTATTTGCTTATGTATGTATGTATGTGTGTGTGTGTGTGTGTGTGTGTGTTTGAAATTCAGAGTTAAAAAGCCCCAGAAACCGGAATGGGATCAAAAAACGGGGGGGGGGGGGGGGAAGGGAGGGAAATGCACGGGACTATGGTGGTGGCACAGGGGTGATTTGGTGATGGGAAACCCGTGGGGATTACAATTGAGATGAAAAAAAAAATGTAAAAAATGATGTAAAAATAAACTTTTTAATTAAAAAAAAAAAAAAAAAAAAAAGCCCCAGAAACCTAGTGGTCAGAGAAAGTCTTGTGCAGAAGGGGGCCTGTAAGTATGGAGAGTATTTGGAGAGCTATATTCTAAACAAGAAAAGGGTAACGTTAGTTCACATGTAGAGAAGGTAAAAGCTGATAGACTCAGCTATTGTCCTCCATACTTGGTTGTCCAGGAAAGCCTCAACCAGGCACAGCTTGTCTGTCAGGCAGTGAGGCAAATGACTCACCTGGAGAGCAGGTTATCCATTGGAAGGAAAAGGGAGACAGAGGCAGACAGGAATGTCACAATAGGAAATTAGTTCACAGAAGGCCTAGAAGTGGCAAGGATAGGAGAACAGCAGACAGCAGGCTCCACGGAACTCTCAGAGATGCACCGTCGAATACAGCTGCAACCAGCTACATACAGTGGTTGAGCACCGAAAATGTAACTTGCACAACTGAGGAACTGAATTTTCTATTTTATTTAACAAAAATAAGTTAAAACAGCCAGTGTGGCTAGTACTGGACAGCAGAGCTCTACAGTCTGGTGACTGCATCTTGTTAGCAATGCAGAACCTTGCTTTAGCCCTGATTTGCTGAGTCTTCCGGTGATCCACAAGCACATTAAAATCTTAAAATTATTCTAGAAAAGTTACTGAGGAACTTTTATAAACACAAATTAGTATATTCCTCTCAAGAGTCACTGGGGGTACTTGCTGAAAGACCAAGCCCCACTTCTACTGAACTGGAATTTTCAGAGCAGTGCTTAAGAAATAGATTAAAAAAAAAACATGATCAGAACATTTTTATTAATACCTGTTAAAGAAATCAACTGAGTCAACAGAACTGCTTGCAATAAGACTCAACAAATGCCAAAAGAGAATGTGATTTCTTTATAAGTCTCATTCTTTTACACATGGTAAGGTTTCTGAAATCAGGATTATTAAATTTCACAACTGACATGTAGATGTAAGCCGTGTTTCTCAACTCCCATCTCATTCTCAAAAAGCTCATTTTAAATGAATGAGGTGTGTGGTATGCAATCTAAATTGCTCCAGTATAATTGAGGATATCTAGTGGACTGGGAGCCAGGAAACCTTAATTTTAACTAGTCCCATGACCCTAAGCAAGTCATTTAACTTAATTTTTTTGTAAGCTTATTTCACAGTGTCAATTATTACCTTCTGGCTGATACCATTTCCTCCAGCCTGAACACTAGTTTCTTACTTTTATCCCTTTATGTATTTCTTTCCTTCCTTATCCCCTCCACCTACCACATGCCAAGAACATGCAAGGCAACAGAAATACAATCATAATGGACACTGACTGCCACTACCCACAGAAATCCCTGCCCAGTCAGGGTGACAGTAACAAGTGATGTGAGAGTCTAGGAAAGGCAGAGAGAGCTGAGCCTAGAGGAGTTCTTCTGAGGGGCAATACTTGCATTAACTCTAGAGGTAATTACAAATTTGAGTATATAAAAGCACACAGTCTGTTAAACAGATGGGGTATGATGAATCCTGGTGGTGTGTATCAGATGTTTATTATACTATTCTGTAACTTTCCTACTGAGTTTGAAATTTCCAAAATAACAGATGGGAGGAAAAAGCTGAGACAGAGACAAATGCTAGACACTGATGAACCTGGAAGACAATATGCAAGTAAAACCAGTCACAAAAGAATAAAAATTGTAGTATTCATATTCCATTTACACGAGGTACTTAGTCAAAGTCACTGAAACAGAATACAGAGTGATGACTGCCAGGAGCTCAGTGAAGAGGAAAGTGGCAGAATAGTATTTAATCAGCAGAGTTGAATTTCAGCTTGGGAAGATGGAAAGGGTTCTAGAGATGGATGGTGTGATAGTTGCTTAACAACATGAACATTCTTAATGCCATTAAAAGGAATATACAAATGGTTAAAATGTAAATGATTAGGTTTTATGCATAGTTTACAGTTTAAAAATAAAGAGAAAAACCTGAATGTTCTGATATAGAAGGATGCCCAAAATTTCATTTTTTTTTTTCAGTGAAAAGAACAAGTTGCAGAATGGTGTGTGTTTGCAGCTTCCATTTGCATAAAGGAACCTATGCATAGGTGCATGTGTGTGCACAGGTAACATCTGGAAGGACAGCTACTAGACTGTTAACAAAGTCTTCTCTATGGCAGAGAATTAGGCAGGAAAGGAAAGTGTCTTGTATATTCTACTTTAACCAATTATGTATGTGCAGCTTCATCAGTTTTAAGCCAAAAAAGTACTTAATTTGTCTGGCAGACTGCTGGGGGCAGTCTCTCTTTGGGTGGTGCCTGAGACAGTGACTGATTTGTTTTTATCCCTTATCCAGCACACCACAGGCACTCAGTGAATGCTAGTTTGGTGCTATGACCATATTATATAGTACTATCTTTTCCAAGCATAGGCAGATGCTGGGCACATTCATTCTAGTTGTCAATATAATGAACAAAGATGGGGGAGCGGGGGCGGAATATAAAACCTTAAAGGGAGGCCATTAATTAATTATTATTAAGTATTAAGTCTCTGAAGCAGAGGCTCCCATCAAAAGCCTCTGATGGGGAGCCACACTTCTGTCTTAAGTCTGGCTAATAATGATCTTACCTCATCATATCCCAAAATAGCTGCATAGAAATTATTTGTCATAAGGATCATGTTCTTCTTCAGGATATAGGAATTCACCTATAGAAACAAAATGGCAGAAACAAAAGTATGAATGAAAGGGAAAAAAACAGAAAGTATCATTTTTGACTCTATGTGTTACAGATTATCAGTAGAATGAGAGGAGCCCCAACAAGTCACACAGTCCAATTCCCTCTCCTTGTCAGGATTCTGCACAATTTGACAATTCCTTTTAGGTTTCATTACCAATGTACAGAAAGCAGTAACTTAGTTTAGTTGTATTGGGCCCAACTCTATGTCAGGCTTTGTGCCAGGCCCAATGAGTACAAGTATAAGAAACAGTTTCTTGACAGGAGAAGCACATAATCTAGTATGGAAAATTACACATGCAAAAAATAACTACAGTTCAATGTGTTGCCTTAAATGTTAGTTAAAAGTGATGAACGACTAATGAATTTTAGCACAAATAATCTCTGCGTGGGGAGGTGGGGAAACACTATCTAGGAAGCAATGATTTAGTGGACCTTGGAGGAAGAGAAATCTGACAGGAGATAGTGAGGGGTAGGAGAGAAGGCATTCTAGACAGAGGAAACAAGATGTGCAAATGTGCAGAGACAGGAAAGAAAACATCTGGAAGTTTAAGGGAGAGTAGATGGGCAGAAACACTGGAAACAGGTTAGGAAATGTCTTTAGAACCACTCAAAGGCTGTTGTGGTGAAGAACAGAAGAAGGAAACTGCCACAGATGAGGAGGCAGGACTGTGAGTGAGATACTGAAGGGAGAAGGGAAGGCCTCTGAAGCCTTCCTTTGTGGAGAGGAGGAAAGACTAGGCTGGACTGAAATAGTATGACTGTTAATGTTAAGAGACAGTTTTGAAATGCAATTCCAGTGACAACTTTTAAGACCCTGGTAAGTCTAGATTGCAGTTCACTGAAAGTCTTTAGTAGGGTAAAACTTTGACCTTCAGATTGCCAGGAATATGCTTAAGGATAGGTTTTGTGTTTTATTCCTTTCTGGGATCCCAACAGAAAGCCCAACATAATGTTTGGTATATACACATTAATATTAAGTATTAATATTAAATATTCAAATCAATAGGTTCCTGGGCCTCCCTGATGGTGCAAGAGATTAAGTCTCAGCACTATGAAGCTCTCCACAGTAACTGCAGCATGGTTCAATCCCCACCCAAGGTGACCCACATAGCACAGCAGACCTGTCCTGTTTTGCCCTCTGCTCCCCTCAGTAGTGTATTTCAGTCTGCTTGTTAAGTGCCCTACTCTGTCTCTGAAGAATTATCTCACCCCAACCCCTGTACCTCTGGCCTACACACTAGTTCTTGTATGCATAAATAAATAAAATAAATCTTAAAACAACAAAAGGTTCCAGAAACAAGCAAAAATCATTTGAAACTTCATATAGAGAATAAGAATTGTGTCTAACTACCCTAACTATGCCCATGCCCACTGCTATCCCTTCTATATACTGAACACCTGCTATGGGCCAGATGCTTTATGGACACTATCTCCTCTAATCACCACCAGAACTCAGAGGGCTAGATGTGTGCTATAGGCACTTTTTTATAGATGCAGAAAACAGGCTCAGACAGGTGAAGTGACCTGCCCTAAGTCCCAGAGCAATTTAGTGATAAAGCTGAGACTGGCATCCAGGTCAGAGTGAATCCATTGCCATGTGCTTTAGATTCCATCATGGTCCTGCCTTTAGGAGGGCAATTTTATTTTGTATCATAAATCAAAGGTTGACTGATTTAACTCCATGCTTTATAATGTCTCTGAAAGGAAGAAAGGAGTAGTGAAAGAATCTAGAATTAGTCAGAAAACCGGGGTTCATGTCATAATTCTGCTGTAAAAACAGGATTTGATGTTAGGTAAGTGAAATAACCTGATTCCATTTCCTTATCTTTTAAACACTCTATACATAGAACTGTTCTGACGAGCAAATGAATTAGCATGTACTCATTCCCTAATTCAACAGTGTGTTGCTAAAACCTTGGTAAGCTGCAAAGTGCTCTGCAAATGCAAGGAATTATAAGTAATACCTCTGGTTTGTGTATATAAAACTAAAACTTCTAATACTTTACAGTCAAGGATAAATTTCAAAAAGGAAGAGAAAATTGTGAAGCTCAAGACTGGAAAACATGAGACTGGATACATCTGGGAGTGTAGCCCATAGCCTCTCCCACTTCACCTTGACCCAGTCAAATTAGCCTATCCTTTGTGTTTTCAGGGCTCTAACTGTTACAGGGCAACCCCTAATATGGAAAGAGTTGCCTGACTGTGGGTCCTCACCTATGCACTTAAAGAAACTTGTAATGTTATAATAAGACTCAACTACAGGCAAACACAAAAGGTTAATAAAGGATTTATTAACAAAAAAAAAAAAAAAAAAAGGAAACGAAGAAATGAATAACTCAGGGAGAAAGAGAGATAATGTGTCCTACCAGTTCCACTGACCTGGAATCCTAAAGCCTACTGAGAGCGGGCGAAAAGCCAAGTCAAAACACGAAGCCAAGCAACCCCACCCCCACCCCCAAGGCCCACATGTCTGCTTTTATACCAAACCTGGCTGTTTAAACCACCCTCAGGTCCCAGCACTTTTCCCTTCGGTGATGATGGGATCTGTAGTTCCCAGTGTCTTAATCTCTTTGGTGTAGAGTGGGGGTGGAGTCCATAAAACCTGTGTCTATAGAGTTCGTTCAGGATATCATTTCCCCCTAACATATCCATGCTTCTTCCCCTGGGTGTATAACATGACTTAGAGTTGCTCATGTTCCACTTGTCAGTCAATCTAAACTGTGAGCTGGTCAACGGTCATAAGGACCTCTGATTAATCTTGGCAGCCTCAACACCTAGTCCAGGGCCTGGCCCAGAATGGAGTTTAACACTGCATACAATGGATGACACTCTAGGCCTGAATGCCATGCACAGCATGTTCTACCCAAGAACATCCATTTGTTTTCCATGTTTTGCCATTCAATACCTTCCACATTTCTGAAATTTCTGAAACACATTACCATTTTCTAGAATGGACTGAGGTGAAAGAAAGGGTCAAGAGATAAGCCAGAGGGAGAGCTAACTCCTTCTGTAATGTGAGAATGGCACTACAAACCACAACTATCAATGCACTTTGAGGCCATACTAGTTCTCAGAATTTTCAAAAAGAAACAGAGCCCTAAGTGAGCAATGTCAGAGATGTCACACAAGAGCAGGGGCATCTCTCAGAGGTTCCTTCAATGAACCTGCTTAGCAAAGCTAGTTTATGTGCTGTAGCAAACTAGTAAGATTTCCAGATGGAAGGCCCCTCAGGATCACCTAATTCAAACCTACTGAGGAAATGAACAGAGACCCAAAAATGGAGAGGTCACACTCCAGTTACTGTCAGAGCCAAGATTAGAACCTTATTTCTGGGTTAGTGCTTTTCTTGCTTCACCACTGCAGGGTATTTCCAGAGATCACCACCCATTAATCTGCAAATCTCAGTTCTTGCTTTATGGCAAGGTCCATTTACATAAAACACACTTGGGATATACTTGTATTCTGGAAGGCTCTTGTCTGGGAAGAATGGAGAGCAGGAATAGAATTCCTTATTAGCAAGGTGGCTCCTTCCTCCTGGTCCAATATTCTAACTCCAGTAACCTGTAAGCTGTCCTCCCACCCCCTTCACCTCTAGCTGCGAGATGGCAAACTGCCATGGCTAGGAATGGTTTTCAGATATCATCACCCAGGCTGGATTAGATCATGAAAAGGGCTCTTCCTGGAAGAGGGTGGAAGTTCAATCCGTACAGACACATGATCTGCAGGCAACAGGTGAGGATAAGTGAGAGCAGCTTCCTGAACTACTGGACTCTCCCTGCTGGGTCCTTTGAGCCCAGCAGCCAAGAAGAGCTGGATATTCCCTCCAGGGAACCTCTGTTGGGATTTGAGTCCCTTACTTAAGCTTTTGTTCACTTGCGTACATATTTTGTGTCCCCATTGTCAGACCATTCTCTATGGAGCATCATGTCCATGAATATACAGATGGACAAACCAGAGGAGAAACTCCCCCCAGAGAGCAGTGGACCGTTCTTTTATTAAACTCTTATCCTTTCCATAACGATTTGCGTTTTATAAAAATCCATACATACAGCACCACCACAGAAAAGGTTCCTTTTTATATCAGTTACTCATATTTTCCCATTTATTTAAGCTATTAAAATCCATGCAGCTATTTTATAAGCCATCAGGATTTGGTGACTGGTATTACTGAATGTTTAATAATAAACTAAACAGAAGAAATCAGAGGGTTAAATGATGACTGCAATTCCTATAATGACTTAATTAAATTTTTATTGAGTACATAAACTATGATGTCATTTCTAGCCAACCATGTGTCTGCTTTACCAGCATGTCACAGGGAGGGAGAACTCAATAGGAGGCTAAGCTAAATGAGCAGCAAGTCTCAGCTGAAATGGGGAGGGGAGCAAGGTTCATGTAACACACTCAATAAATTATCCGTTCATTTTTAAACAAAGTCCATGAGTTATAATATATTTGCCATGCACTTTTTATGACATAATAAAAATGTTACCTTAAGGATTACTTAACACATACTACAAATGTTATAGCAGAGGCAGGCACAAGGGGCAAAGAAAACAAACATGAGCAGGCCAGGGACGGGTCCTGGAGTTTATGTCCCAGGGGTAACAGCAGAGTATATTAAAAAGGGAACATACGAAAAAAGGGAGGGGGGAGATACCAGAGTTCAGGGTTACTAATCAGCAGACGAATGATTGAGACAAACAACAAGGCACACAACTAAAGCAATAATGAACCTTGCAAAGCTCAGGTTTAATTAATAAAGTATTCCAGAGGAGTATTAGCTTTAAAGAGATATCAGTTCATTTGAGGCCAATTCTCTGCCCTCCTCCCCCTTTTTGCTATAGCTGCTCTTAGGATATTTATGTCTGCATAACAGAGGAACCAGATTCTGTGGATGGAAGGACTGATGGAGGATCAAATTTAAACTCCTTCATAAGCACTACAAGGTTCACTGTAACCTGTTCT